GAGAGACAGGAATGTACACACGGTCCCAGCATATGCTGATGGGAGCGACAGCAATTCACCCAGACCCAGGGGACCAAGGGCACATGAGCATCAGTCCAGGCCCTACATCACTGGTCACAGTACCTTGCACATAATAAGTTCAGTTGCTTCTTGAACAACACAGGTTTGAACTGTGTGAATCCACTTACACAGGAATTTTTTTATATATAAATATAGTCCAGTGCTATAAATGTATTTTCTCTTCCTTATGATTTTTTAAGATTTTATTTATTTACTTACTTATTTATCTGAGAGAGAGAGAGGTTGAGCACGAGTGGGGAAGGGGCAGAGGGAGAGAATCTTCAAGCACACCCCCCGCTAGCCAACTCAGGGCTCAGTCCCACAGCACCAAGATCATGACCTGAGCCGAAATTAAGAGTTGGACGCTCAGCTGACTGAGCCACCCAGGTGCCCCTCCTTATGATTTTCTTAATAACATTTTCTTTTCTCTAGTTTACTTTAGTGTAAGAATGCAGCGTGTAATACATATAACATGCAAAATTGTGTTAATAGATCGTTCGTGTTATTGGTAAGGCTTCTGAGCAACAGCAGACTATTAGTGGTTAAGTTTAGGGGCTGTCAAAAGTTATACTCAGATTTTTGACTGTGCTGTGGGGGCAGCGCCCCCAACCCCCAAGTTGCTCAGGGGTCAACCATATATATTTGTCAAATGAATGAGTGAACCGGAAGGGAACAGGGGGCTGTTCTTCTACAATAATTGAGAGAATCGGCCTCCTCTCCTGGGGCATGGGGACAACCAACATCTACTTAGCACCTCCTCTGTACCGAGAACCTGGCAAGCACTGTTTCTTTTAATCCTCACAAACCTAAACTCTGTGAGATGGAGATTATTACCTACATTTTCAGGAGAGACAACCAGGGCTCAGAGGAGCTCAGTAACTTGAGTCGGTAGGTGCAGACCTGCAGGCGAATCCCAGGGCTGTTCTGCTGTGTTCTTACCAGGGGTTCCCCTGCTGCCCACCGCCCCCCCCCGCTCCCCCCCCCCCCAGGGAAGGGTAAGGGAAGAACAATGCTGAGGAACAAGATGGAGGTCATCGGTCTTCACACTGTGGGGGTGAATTCTGGGGTCTAAGCAACTCTGTCCCTCGATCACTTCCCTGCATTTCCTTCCACCTCACTGCCGCCCGCCCTCCTGATGCAGTCTTCATGCTGCCCGTGTGCGGCGGGAGCCACGGTTTGGGAAAACAAGTAAGTTGGTAAAAAGCAACCGAGAATTCGCCTGATTTTAGAAATCGAGCAGACTCGGGCCGGGTCAGGATTCTCCTTTGGCAAATGAGGAAACTGAGGCCCAGAGAAGCAGGGCCCCTGTGTTCTCCCGGCTGCCTCCCTGCCACCACCCAGCACCCTCCTGCAGCGGTGGGGTTTGGCCGACAGGTTTCCCAGCGGCCCCGTCGAGGCAACAGCACCCGGCGGAACACAAGAGGAATTCCATGCCCCCACCGGAGCCCGTCCTCGCAGTCCTCCCTTCAGCAAGCCGCCCCCAGAGATAGGGCACCCTCGGCAGGGTGCCCGCCCTTCCTCCTCCCACTCTCCAACCCGACAGAGCCGATAACGAGTCAGGTTCTGCGGCTGCCATGGGGAGCTGGTGTGGCCTCCCCATCACCCCTCTACCTGGAGATGAGCCGACACCCCTTTTCCATCACAGCATCTTCCCTTGGCCTCCCGCCCCTCCCCCCATCCTCTTCCTCAGGGATCCTGCCGGTACCAGCCCTGTGCTCCGTCCTTTCTCATACTCTCTCTCACGTACCACCTACGTCACTCCCATTTCACAGATCACAAAGCTGAGGCCTAGAGAGGTTAGGGAACACGCTTGTGGTGCCACTGCTAGTAAGCATCTGAGTAGAGCCTGGAACAGGGTGCATCCAAGTCTGGAGCCCATGTTCTTCTCAATTCACCACATGACAACTCTAGGACAGTCGCTTCTGCGACTCCCATAATGATCACTGAAATTCCATGCCATTCCATGGGGGCTGAGGTGTGCAGCTGTCAGACCAAGGCCCAGAAAGTATGGGCCCTGTGAAACATTCGTCCAAGGTATATCGGATGGGTGGGCCAGGCCCCAGAGGACTCAGGACCCAGGGGCACCATGTCCCCCACAAAGATGGCAAGGAGGGCCTTCCAATCTCTCAAGTGGGATGCGGCTGCCAGCACACAGGAGCCACCCTTTCCTGCATGGCCACTCGGGCCCTGGAACTGGACCTTGATTCCATCCAAGAGCACCCAAGGGGAAGCACACCCCTGGGCACCTCCTTTTGGCCTGAGGTAAGCAACAACCGATGTGAACCTCAGAGAGTGGCTTCATTCACTGGCGATGCATCAATCCGGGGATCCTCAAATGGAGCTCCTCATTCCCGGTCCATTCCCACAGCTAGTTCCCAGAAACACGGACCTCCCTGGAAACCCCCCCACAACTGGACCACCTCTCTGGGACCAGATGTACCCGGCCACGGCTCAACCATGGGAGCTGCCAGTCAGAAAGACCACTTATCTGGTTCCTATCCTGGGCTCCATTCTACCCATCTCTGAAGCACACAGGCTGTCCCCTCCTCAGGAGCTGACAGCTTTCTCATATTCACCTACCCAAAAAAGAGTTAAACAATGGAAAGGAAACTCCAGAAGCTCCTGGAAGATCTCCTCTCATTAGTTTCCAAGCGAGCTACAGACATTTCCCTGTAAGAAAAGGCAGCTGGTTCATGGCTTTCAAAGGTCAGTTATTCCAGGCCTGGGTTTGTGTATAGCAAAAGTCCAGCTGCTGTAAGTAAAGGTTTCTTCTTCCTGTTCCCCTTCTCTTCAGCAGGTAGCCCATCCATTCCTCCCCCTTGCCCACCACAAACCTGGGGAAGTGACGCAAGTGTCTGAGGCCACCCCTTCCAGGACTGACGCAGAAGATGGCCATCCTGATTTCACCACCCCATCCGGGAGTGCCAGGAGCCCTGTGTGGCCAGCATGTGGAGCCCACCCCCCAAGGCTGGAAGGTCGGCCCCCAGGGCTGGTATGGCTCCTGCCCACCCCATCTGGCAGACAAGCTCTGACCCACGGATTGAATGAATCACCTGCCAAAGTAGGCCAGCCAATCAGCCAGCAAGCCACAGTCGCGAGAGCCCACTAATCCTTTCCCCTCCCAGGGAGGGTACAGAATCTAGGCCAGTGGTTCTTAAACTCGGCTACACACGGAATCATCTACCAGATCTCTAGAAACACTGCTTGGGCTCCATCTTGGAGATTCTGATGTATGGTGTGGGGTACAGCCTAGGCATCGGGATTTTTTTTTACTCTCCCAGGTAATTCTAACGGGCAGCAATGTTTGAGGAGAACTGGTATAGACCCCTTGCGGGCAATTTCAGATGCCAAGCGTCCCCACCCAGCAGCACAATTAACGCTCCAGCACCCACAGATATTCACTGCCCCAAAGATTTACCTAAAAGGCAAGTATCCGCTGTGTGAACAAGATCAATAATATAGGCGTCTTCACGGGGTAAGGCAAAGACCTCTACTTTTATTCACCTGTCCGATTTTCAAGTCCTCAAAATGAAAGATTGGTTTCCCCCCACGGGTACGAAGCTAGAAACCAGGTAGATAGAGTTTTGTCTCCCCCGGGTGGCGCAAGATGGAGACAGAATGGGAACCTCACTCTGTTAGGATGTCACAAATTTCGGCATGGGCCGCTGAGGTGTCTCTTGCAGGGGGTTTGTGCGTCTCGGTGCAGCATGGAATGCATCTGTTCTGATTCGGCCCCTGGCTTTGGTGGCAGGTGGTTTAGCTGCTCCCATCGCAACCGGCACAGCCACGGCGCTGGTGAAAAATAGGTTTGTGCTCCCATATCCTGAGCCGTGGAAGGGGCTGTGTTGCCTCTCAGTACTCAAAGGTATTGGGGTACAGCTACATGAAAAGGCTAGGTGCTAGGAGTCCAAACAGATGCTCCCCTGAGACTAAGCCCCAAAACTTTCTATTAAAAATATCTTTGGGGCGCCTGGGTGGCTGTGTCGGTTAAGCATCCGACTCTTGATTTCAGCTCAGGTCATGATCTCAGGCTCCTGGGATTGAGCCCCGAGTTGAGCCCCGTGTTGGGCTCCATGCTCAGTGCAGAGATTCTCTCTCTCTCTGCCACTCCCCCCGCTCATACAAGCACGCTCTCTCTCTCTAAATTAATTAATTAATAACTTAAAAAATATATATATCCTCAACAACAAAATTCAGAGGATCATCCCCTGTGCTCTGTCTGGGGCCTACCTCAGAGCACAAAATTCAACCCCAAGTTGAATTTTACTTTAAGCAGAAACCCAAACGTCAGTAAATTCTGCATTCTAACCAATGACACGGGTCTTAATTTTGGTCACGGCGGAAGAAGAGGCTCTGGGTGAGTCCTGTGGTTTCTAGTACCCCCAGGTGGACACAGGGCAGCCTGCAGAAGCCCCAGCAATGAGGGGGGCCCCAGGGTGAGGAGGAGGCTCGGGAGCATCAGACACACTCTGACACATCAGCTTCTTTTGACCTGAATCACACAAACCTCACTTTTGCTAAAAACTTTACTCTCCCTCTTCTTAAACTTTTCAGTCTCTTCCTTCACGATGCTTTCATCGTATTGCTCCCGTCGGCCTGCCTGAGGTCCTTCACTCTTTCCAGGCCTCTCTGGCCACTCCTGCCCTGAACGATGGTGATGATGATCCGTATCAGTTCATGTCATCCTCACCACAAATTCATTGTCTTCCCGACTAGAGTGAATTTCCTTATGACTTACACCATACTTCTATTTCTTCTTATGCCCAGTGGCACCGAGCATGAAGCAGATAATAGATACTTGCTCAAGAACCTTCAATGTCTCCCCATTGCCTACAAGGGGTTGGGGGAGAGAAAGATCTTCCTTCTTCCTAGGAATTGCAGTGCAGTGAGCCTTGGATTTCAGCGCAGGCTGAGTTCTGTGAGAGAAGTACCTACTGCTCCCTTCCCTGTCACGGCATCCCAGAGCCTAGTTGCAGCTGGGAACAAGCAGAGGCTCAAGAAAAGCCTGCGGGACGAACATAAGCATGTAGTTTGGGTTCTGACCCCCATTACTAACTAAGCGATCTTGAGGAAATCCGATAACCTCTTTAAGCCTCAGTCTCTGTGCTCAGTTTCACCTATCGATTTGAAATACAAATCCTTCATTGCCTAATAGGATGCATGCAAAGGTAAGACCAGATGAGATCACAGCTGCAAACACATCGTGGACATGGTCAAACCCATCCAAAGGCACATACTATTCCTATCCTCCCGGGCCTACAAAGCCCTACCCCGAGGAGCCAGTCCCACTTCCCACTCTCCTGGAGCACTTTGTCAGGGTTGGCCGCCGTGCCATACAGTGTGTTCATTCCTCTCTCTGCACTGGCAGCGGGTGCAGAGAGGCTTTCCTAGCCATACGGTCTTCACTACAACTATGCAACCCTGGCCTTCATAGCTCAGAGCAGCCGCGGGCTGAGCGCCGCTGGGTTTCAGCAGAACCTGACTGCAGTCGCCCCGCTCCGCACCGGGGCGTGGGCGGTGTCTCCCGCTCAGAATGCGGAGCCCGCCACCCCCCCAGCGCCCTCTCCTCAGCACCTTGAATGAAGGGTCCCCGGCCCACGGCATTCTCCTCCTTCTCTGCTCTCCTTCAATACAGGTGATCCCTGCCATTTGAGTTCCCAAACGGAGAAAGGTTAATATAGAGGTCTGTGCTGGGCGCTGCCTGCCGCCTGAATGACACTCCTGTTGAGAGCCGTGGCCTCCCCCGGCACACCGGCCTTTTGTACTTCGCTCTCACTTCGTGGGCACTCTGGCCACAAGCAGGCAAAGGCTTCGTGGCTTCACTGGGGTTGGGCTTGCTCTCCTCCCGGCTCCCGTTGAGGAGGCAACACGCCGGCTGAGGAAGGGAGCCAGGTGGGCGGCCAGGCTCACTCCCTGGCTCAGGGACTGACTCCCAAACCCCAGCCCCGGGGCCCCGATGCCTCAGAGTCCTGTCGTGGCCAAGCTGCCAATTACCACATGCCCTGGGCCTCTGCATCCACCACTCCAAGGACCGCGGAGGTGCCTTCACAGCCTGTGTGGCCGCATTTGGGTCTAACTGTACGCTGCCTTTTATGGCTTAATTATTATTTCACATGTGTTAGTCTCATCTTCCCAATTAGATGTTCCCTGGAGGGAGACAGACGTGATGGCTGATGATTGTGCTGCTTTGGTACCCGCTGTGACGCTCCGTCGAGCTGTCCATGACCTCCAAGGAGGTGACCGGGACAGGGTGGGGTGGCCTGGGTGGCGCCAGCCTCGAGTCCTTACATGGACTGCAGTCAGGTCCAGGAGCACCTCCCACGGACCCGCACCCCAAGGGGCTGATGCTAAGGCCCGGGTTGCACGGGTTGCTGGCTCTGCCTGGCAGCCAGCCCTGCTCAGCTCTTTGCAGTTTCCTGGTCAGAACGAATGTAAGACCATCATGACCTGTGACCTCCAGCAAGTCACTTCCCCTCTGAGGGTGCCTCAGTGTCCTCCTCTGTGAAATCATGAAGTGAGACACTTCTGCAGCTCTACAAGTTTACCTCAAGGAGAGGGTGGTTTCTTTCATCACTGCTTCCTCTTCTATTTCAGAGAAGGGGTGGGGGTGGGGCCCCTCGGAGGATGGCCGGGCTTGCCCGAATCGCAGGGGTTAAGAACTGGCCTGAGACAGTACCCAGACGTTTCTAGCATCTATGGCGTGACTTGTCTCAGTACTGGCCGCTTGCTTTCTCTACTCGTCCGTCAGCAAGGCTCAAGGAGGTCTACACCTTCCTAACTCACACCACTCAAGAAAACAAAACAAAAACTACCCCGGAAGCCAGTCTCCATGAGCCTTTGCCACATTTCCTCTTTCTCAGCTCTTAGCAAATCTGTCAGCAGCCATTCTTCTGCCCCTGGGCGAAGAGCACCCCCAGGCCTATGTCAGCGGGGAGAGCCTCAGGCTCTACTGCGTGAGAAGGACCATCTGCAGACACCTTCCAGGCCACCCTGCTGCCCTGGAGCAGCGCGGGCCCCAAACACCTGATGTTTCTCTCATGCCCGTCCTAAACAGGGACCCCTGAGGGAAAGGGGCAGACACCCCTCTGTCTGGGCTGGGTTCGGAACGCCCTGCTCAATGCCCAGACCACACTCAAGGCTCACTGGTCCCTTGGTGACAGCCTCGACCAGATGGGAAAGAGGAAGCCCCACGGGGCCTCACCACAGGGCCCCCTTCCAGGTCCTGGAGGGCCCGTGTTCTGGAATGGCTGCCCCAGCCACACCCTGGACCCTGACGGGCTTGATTCTCCCAGAGCCCTCTCTGGCTCTGTCCAACATCCCAGAAATAAAAGGGTTGGAAACTCCTCAAGTGTGTTCTCCAGTAGGCTGTTCCCAGTAGAGGAAGGAAGGAAGGAAGTTTCAGCAGGGAGCCGTCCGTGTAAGCATAACCGTGCGGGATTTGGGATTTGAGCTGCTCTGACGGGGGGATGCAGAGGAGCAGGGAATAAGAACGGGGTGGGATTTGAGAAACTGGAAAGAGACCGAAGACAAAAACCTAGAGCAGATGGTCAATGCAGACAGTCAGTCAACAGTAACTGATTGAGTTGCCCACGGGGTGAGGGGCTGTGAAAGTCACCTTGGAACAGGAAACCGGCGGGCCGCGGTCCCCGTCCTTGGGAGAGCGCAGGCCACCTGCGGAGGGAAGGCAGAGGTGCGGGTCCCATGAAGAAGCACCAGACAGCGCGGCTCAGCGTATAGGGACCTGATGAGGGCCACGCCGGCGGGCTCCCCAGGCGGCCAGCATGGGGCCTGCGCACAGTGTCCCTCCCTCTCGCAGGCGGCCATCTCGGTCTACAAGCAGGGGCAGGTCATCTGGGGTGAGTCCAGGGCGGAGAACACCAGCCACCTGCAGGTGGCTGAGGGAGCCCCGTGGCCTTGGAGCTGCGGCCTCATGATCGTGACAAAAATCGCCAACAGGCCAGGGCCTCCCAAGTCACAATCCCATTTAGTCCCTGAAAGGACTCAGTGAGGATGGTAGGTTATTACCCAGCGTCCCTGCTCCTCACCCCTAGACGACACAGCCCTGCACAGCTGCGTGCCCTCAGTCTGTGCAGGCGGTCTCCCCGAGACTCGGATTTGTCTGTGAAGCACGGACAACAAGGCCCTCTTGACACATGTGTCGCAGAGATGAAACAAGACTGCACATCTGGAAGTGCTTAGCACACTGCCCATACACAGCAAGCACTCAATAAACAGTAGCTAGTGAACCGTCATGGTGGCCAGCAGCATCATCTGTAGGCAGCTGTCTGGCGGGGCAGAGGAAGGCTGGCTGGTGGGGCTGACTCAACACGGCAGTCCTCTTGCCTTCACCTTGACCTCTGACAGGCCTATCACAGAGCCATGTTACGACGCTGTGCGTCCTAAGCACTTTTGTCTTCGGGGCCAAGGGGCCCTCTTCCTCCATTAAAAAAAAAAAAAAAAAGATGGGAAATGTTATTTTAGGATCGCATTGATATAAAGAAAAATATATTACTATCAGATAAGAAAGCACATTCTTCAACCTAAAAGTTTATTTCTTCGCCCCTGATTTTAAGAGCAATTAAAACATTTTTGTGGGCCCATAAAGAACCGTGGGCCCTTCTGACACCACACACCACTGTGCCTCGTGGATAAGTCAGCAGGGGTCTCAACTCCCGAGTCCCAGGTAGGGTGACCAGGGACTGAGAGTTTTCTTGGAGTGCAAGACTTTCAGTGCTAGAATCAGGACAGTCCTGGGCAAACCAGTGTGTTTGCTTACCCTAGTCCCAGGGGCTCCCTTGCAGGCCTAGATAGACTCCATCCCTCTCAACTGTGGGCCCCAGAGACACTGCTTGCTCTCTATAAAGCTGCACGTACACTCTGCCCTGGGGGGCTCCCTGACTCTCTCCCTGGACCCCCTTCCCCCGCAGCCTGGCTGTGGCTGGGCACAGTGGCCCTGGCTGTCTCTGCCGATCAGCACACATCACACACATGCTGATCAGCTTGATGACAGAATGCAAGCTCCCCGAGGACAGGGACTGCCCCGATCACTGATGTAGCTCCCAGAACAGTGCCTGGCAGACAGAAGGGGCTCATTAAACACCCGCCTAATGAATAAAACAAAAAAAAGTAATAAGACATACGCACGTGCACACGCTTGTACACATGCACACAAAACCCCAAAACAAATATAGGGAGATTAAGAGGTTCCAGAATTGTATACAGCTCCTATAGGGTTCCTGGCCCATGGCACCTATCAACAGAGCACCCAGAACGAGCACTGTGGAGTGAGTCAGGGATGACGGTGGGCAGGGTGACAGAGTGGGTCCCAAGACCCCGTCCCAGGCTCCAGTCACTCTGGAGGCTGGATGCTGCTCTTTCAGAAACAATTTAAAGAGGATTCCACTGTAAATCGTATGTCTGACAAAGGATCACTATCCAAAATATCTAAAGAACCCCAGCAACCCAACAACAACAACAACAACTAAAAGACCCAACTTTAAAAATGGACAAAAGACTGGAATAGACATTTCTCCAAAGACAAACAGATGGCCAATAAGCACAGGAAAAGAGGCTCAACATCACTCATCATTAGGGACATGTAAATCAAAATCACAATGAGATGCCACCTCATACTCATTAGGATGGCCGTCATCAAAAACCAAGAAAATAGCAGGCATTGGCAAGATCGTGGAGAAAATTGGAACCCTGGGCATTGCTGGTGGGAACGTGAGATGGTGAAGCCACCTGGTAAATGGACTGGCAAGTACTTGAAAGATTAAATGCAAAGCATCACCAGATTATCCAGCAAGGCTACCTCTGGGTTGATACCTACAAGAAGTAAGAACGAAGACTCAAACAGGTATTTGCACACTCCTGCTGACAGTGGCATTCTTCACAATAACAAAAGATGGAAGCAACCCACTGACGGATGGATAGATAAACAAAGCGTGGTGTAGACAGGCCGTGGAATATTACTGACCCATAAAAAAGAAGGAAATTGTGGCACATGCTACATGGATGAACCCTGAAAACATTACACTAAGTGAAATAAGCCAGGCACAAAAGGACAGATGCTGTGTGATTCTAGTTACAGGAGGTTCCTCGAGTCAGTCAAGTTCCCAGGGGCAGAAAGTAGAATGGGGCTGGCTGTGGGGAGAGGGGGATGGGGAGCTGCTGGCTAATGGGGACAGAAACGGTCTGGAGATGGTGGTGCGACTGGCTGCACAACACTGTCAATGTACTTATGCAATGTCTATTTTATCACAATTTTTAAAAAGGAGATTCCAAGGGCAGGGGCAACTGGAGGCCTTGTAGCCGGCTAGTTTCATCTGGTTCCCATACAGTTGGGAGTGTCCCTTACTTTCTATCTTCCACGCAAGTGAGCAGTCAGTCCCACTTGTGAGCAAGGTGGCCCTCATCCTGCACGGGCTGGCTCTTTGGGCGCCGGCCACTCTCCTGCACGACTAAGAAATGGCTGGACCCTCGGGCTGCCCCAGACAGCCGAGCCCAACTCAGAGGAGCTCTACAGCGAGCTGAGCGTCTTAGAGCTTCCCAGGGGACTCTCCAGAGAGGGGCTCAGGCACACAGATCTAGAAGGGGCCTGGAGACGAACTGGCCCAGGCACCCCCATTCTGGAGCAACCATAGTTGTTAGGTGACTCAAGGCGCAGGGACTCCCCAACTTGCCTCACATGCTCTCCCTTCAGCCTGCCATGGCTGGCCACGGTCAAGGAGCTATGTCTGGCCTTCCAACTTCATACATCCTAGGGACATGGATGTGTCAGCAAAAGGAAGATTTGGGGAAACACTTCTTTCTCTCTGTCTTCTTTCTTCTGCAGGCTCCAGCGCCATGGCATATTCTCAAAGTCATCGAGCTGGGAGCTGGGAACAGGCTCGCCTTCAGGGCCATGCATCCGCACCTCCAAACTGCGTCCTCCCTCTCCCACACTGGAACCTCCCTGCACAAGGACACTCTGAAGAGGGCTTCCTCAGCTTCTCGGACAATCCCATGTGCTCTGAGAGCACAGAGCCAAAGCCAGCAGGGAGGGCATGGGAAGGGGGTGGCTTTAGAAGCCCCGCTCGTGTGCTCTAATTACAGGCCACTCCTGGGCTGCCCGGGACGTGGGTGCCCTGGCCACAGGAGCCCCCTCTCCCACCACGCGCCGGCTTCAGCTCGGCTGGAGCTCCCCGCAGTGCCATGGGGGATTCAGATGATTCAGCAGTGGAGAGCGGTGCGGGGGGGGCCGGGACCCAGGGCCCAGCACGGCCTGCACTGCCCTGCGGGAAGGGGTGCAGTCCCTCTTGGCTCCCTCTCCCTGGAGACCCCACCTGTGCCCTCGGCTTTGCAAGCGGGGTGGTGCCGGAGCCTCTTCACCAGCCCACACATGGCCTCTTGTCACAGTGTCACCGGCCCGGACACACTGAAATGTGTCTCGGTCGGTTATCAGGTAACTCTGAGTCTTCTCAAGTGTGTGTCCTCCTGCTGTCACACAGGCTCAGGGGTGGGGACATTTGGTTTCCTCCCACTGGCAAGAGCTTTCAGAGAAGCAGTACAGCTTAAGGGCTAGGAGGTCTGGCATCAGACTCAGGCCCAAATCCTGGATCTGCCCCTTCCTGCTACGAGACCCACTTCTGTGCCTCAGTTTCTCCACTGTTAGATGGAAAGCACAAATGAGTCTGCACATGGAAAGCACTTAGAACAGTGCCTGCCACACATCAAGGCCCGATAATTCACTGCCATTATTATTCATTCTAACCATTTCCCAGCAGAGCCCTAGCTCCTGCCCTCTCTCTGTTCTGTGAACAGAGCTTTATGCTTCCACATACCCTATTTGTGAAACCCCCCTCCGCACGTCAAAATTCATCACCCATCTGCATATCTTGAGATGGCCTTTATTATCCCAGAAGGAGAAAGTGAGGCCTGGAGCAGTAAGCATGCTTCCTGAGGTACACACAGTGAAGGCTTGTGGCTTGGCTTTCCAGGCCCGTTAATGGGCTTGCTTAAGGGCCTGGGTCCCCTGAGCAGCATGCCCCCTCCCCACTCTACCTGGGCCAACAGAGGATGCTCAAACTACTGGGACTGCCAAACCGGGGTCTTGCTGAGAAGTAAACTGGGAAATGAAAACAAACAAGAAGTGGGTTGGTTCCTCCCCCTCCACCTGCCACTCTCCATGGCAGAAAGGCAACCAGAAGAAACCTGTCATAGGAGGCTCTCCCACCTCCTCACATGGGCCCCTCGGCATGAACCCCCCCCCCCCCCCCCCCCCGCCCCCCCCCCCCCCCCGTTTAGGAAGGACCAAGCCAACTCCTGCCAGCAGGTGCCAGGGCCCAGTTGCTTAGTGACCCAGTCCTGCCTGCCCTCATCCTCCAGGGCAAACAGCTGAGCAATCACAGATGGGATGGAGGGAGCTGCTCTATGTTTGGAAAGTTGTCCTTGCATTTTCTGCTCACTCAGTGAGATTTTTCTTTTCAGAGTTAATGGAAAAATCCATTGATTCCACGTCCAGAATCTTAGCAAGCTTCCCTTTAGAACAGTCCGGAGATCAGCTTTCACACCCTGTGTGCGCTGAGGAGCTTGCGCTTGCACCCTCTGGGGAGCCCCACCACCTCTTAGGGCTCTCTGTTTGGAGGGAAGTTCCAAGCCCACTCCTCCTTTATCAAACATGCATCAAGCACATACCATGTGCAGACGACACAACGATGACCAAGATGTGGCCCCTGGTCCAGAGAATTACAGCCCATCAAAATGAGGGACAGGAAAGATAGGCTGGCGTTTGGGGCGCACAGAGAAATGAGCGCAGGCGGAAATGGTCTCCAGACACCCTAGACCCGCCAGCTTCCACACCCTCCTCAGGAACCCACACTTTCCCTGCTGTGTGTGACTGTGGAGATCAGCCAGGCCTCCTGCCTCTCCATGTGTTCCTGCCAACAGAGGACCTGCCTCCAGCTCCCGGAGGCAAGGCCAGTGCCCTGCAGACCCAGCTCCTGCCTGCCATCCGCATCACGGTGCGGGGGGACCATCCAACACCACTCTTCACACCAGAGGACAGCCAGGTGATGAGAAGGACGATGAGGGGCTCACCAACGGGAGGCTGATGCAATGGTGATAGAGTGCGGCGCCCCGAATTTCCCCAGACCAGAGCAGGAAAAAAAGACCTGGATTGCAGCACCAGGGAACAGGCTGAACGAGAGCCCCCGCTTCCTAGGGCAGGTCAGCAGAGTTTGAGGCGGGAGGCTGGAGCTCCTTTGGAGCTTTTCAAACTTGACTCTGGCCTCACCCAAGGTGCCATGTGTGTAGTGGAAAGAGCATGTGTTTTGGAGTTGGACACATGTGGGGTGGGGGCCTCGCCCTTGGCTAACACTCTTTCTTTGGCATATGAGCTCACTGAATGTGCCAATCTTTTGGCTTGATAGCAACAGCGATTCTGCCTGTGTGGTCTCGTCGGAGGCACTCAGCGCTGGGTTGCTGCCTCCCCACACTTGCTGCGCCCCACGGAGCAGGGATCCAACCAGCTGGACTCAGGCCGCATGGCGCCCCGGACAAGGAAGGACTGCGCACCAGGCTGGAGGAGGATGGAGATAATGAATACAGCTTCCCCCTCCCCTGCCTGGGATGGATCTCATGCGGGCCCGCCTGGAAACAGGGAAACAGCCGGCCTCAGTGACTCCTCCAGTCTCCTCCAGCTCCAGGAGTCTACGCCTTTCCGAGTTAATTTCCTGCACCCCTCCCAGTGACTGCTGCAGCCCCGCCAGTATTGCCGGCTGCCGGCCTGCCCCCAGCACCCCCGCAGGCTAGTCAGGCCCAACCCCTTGATTCTGGGAGCCAGCCCTCCAGCTGCCTGTCTCGGGATCTGCGGCGACGTCCTAAGAAAGCCACGTGGCTGCAGCGTCTTCCTCCCAGATGTCCCTCTGCCCGGCCGCCCACACTCAAATACTTCATGGCTGGGGAGGGGAGCAAGGAGGGTCTGTTGCTCGACACGGCTGGGGTCTGTAAGCGCGGAGGCGGAGTTCTATCTATCCATCCTCCTCACCCCGGGTGCTCAGTGCTACGAGAAAGTTAAAAACACAACGGTTTCCTTGAGGCCAGGTACTGCAGGGTTCTGGATGCTCTATAAGGAACAGGAACCAAGGGTGGGCTTCACTCGGGAAGCAGAGGGGAGGCTCTGAGGGCTTTGCGATACCGGAATGATAGGCCCCTGGCAGTCATTAGCAGGGTGCACAAAACAGGAAGAAACAGGATGGAAGCCAGTTGGGTGACTTCCTAGAGTATATGGGTGAGAGGTGATGAACACCCAACAGAGGGCAGGGCAGAAAGGAGAGCCCGGCATCCCCAGCACAGGAGACAGAACCCACAGGGACAGGCCGGGTGAAGGGAGGAGGGGGAGACCCCCAAGGCTTCCAAGGTCAGGGACTAGGAGGGTGGGGCAGAGACACAGCGAGAAATCGGTTATGGGCCAAACTATGAGTTGGTTCTGGACATGTTACATTTTAGCCATCGGAGGGGCATGGGAGACCTCCAATAAGCTACAGAAAATTTTGTTCTAGAGCCAGGAAGAGAGGTAGGACGGGGGCCATAAGCTGG